AGATAATTGATGATGATTGATATAGTTTACCCTTACCAAAGCAGTCAATATTTAAAGATTATTTTAATAATAACCGTATAAACGCCATAATCTTATAAATAGATTTAACATCATTTCATTTCATTTTCTTTTCATAATATATCTCTAATTTAACCTTCAAATTCCATATATACATGCATATTACATTCGTTCTGTATTACTGTTTTTAAATTTTACTTGTTTCCCTCTCAAATTGTTATGGGAATAAAATAATTTAAAATTAGAAAATAAATCTGTCTTTCAAATTTCAAGTTTTTCACTTTATTATTTAAATAATGCGTTACTTTTAAGGCAATAGTGTGGTGATGATACGTTACGTTATATTTCCTTTCCAATGAAATTTGTATAACTTTTGTTTTGTTGTGTTTTACCCATTGTTTTCATTTTTATTTTAATCTTTTTTTTAATTAAAATGAGGTTAGTATATGACTGTTCAAATATATCTCTCAATCATTCGATATTGAACACTTATATCCCTGACATTTATAGTGCTCGAACATGCGATATCAAGAAATAACAACAATTCATTTATCAACAATGTCGTTTAATTCGTGCATTTTAATCTTATGATGTTACCGTTAGAGATTTTATTCGAAAAATTTATCAAGTCGATAAAAAAAATTAAAAAATTATTCACAAAATATTCTTTTAATAGAAAAACACTTATTTTTTAAATAAAATTGTTTGATTATATATATATATAATTCCTATAAATTAACCCTACTTTAAACACCCCTTAAAATATCACCGTGTTTCTTGCTTTAACGCACCCAATATTATTTTTTAATTTTCTAAATAATTTCTGCAAACTTTAGCAACCTAATTTTACTTGGCATTCACTCAATAAACAAATAAAATTAATGAATAATTATGTTTTTCAATATAATTATATAATAATATATGCCCACTATTCATTGTCTCTTAAAAAATTCAATTTTAAAAAATAATTAGGAGAAAACTAGCCACTTTCACATTTTCTTTCAATTTTTTAATTTGCTAGATTCCAACTAAGGACAAATATCAATATCTTAATTAATAAAATAATTATTATTAGAAATAAATAATATTTTATCAAATAATTTCCTTTTCATTATTTTAATAATCTTAAATTCAGACAGATTTAAAAAGAAAGTTAGGAATGCTAAATTACCAAAAACTCAACAAATCTCTTATCATTTTCTGAAAATTAAAAGAAAAATATATCAAAGATAGTTTTTTTTCTTCAAATTTTCTTCTGAAATCTAATTTTGTCTTCCAAAATAATATATATTTTAAAAAAATTGTCTGGTTTTGAACTTTGAAGCTGTACTGTTTTTAATTTAATTTTGTTGGTTTTTTTCCTGGGAAAATTTAACCTTTGTTTTAGCTGGTTGAGCTTACAATCCAAATGAGTTTTTGATAAAAAATTTAGGGGAAAAAAGATAATATTTCTGAAAATTAGAGCTTGAAGTTTTAACTATGGAGCCAAAAGAATTCGAAACAAGTGCTGCTGCTACTGCTGGAGTTACAGTGGTACGATCCGATGCTCCATCGGCCTACCACATAGCTCCGAGGACCGAAAAATCGACCCAAACCCCGAATCCGACTCCGGGATCCGCCCCGCCGCAGCAACAGGCGGCGCAACCAGGAGTGCCTCGGCCGGTTTCAGTGGCGGGGTTGCCGGAGAAGAAGAAGAGGGGAAGGCCTAGAAAATACGGACCGGACGGTTCAATTACTAAGGCGCTCTCTCCTAAGCCTATATCGACAGCTGCGCCGCCGTCTTCAGTTATCGACTTCTCAGCCGGGAAGAGAGGGAAAGTGAAGTCTCCGACGTCGTTTTCGAAGCCGAGGAACGAGCTGGAGAATTTAGGTGAGAAACCCATTCGTTTTGTGTTGTTTTTAAAGTGCTTCTTTGGTGTGGGTAGGCGAAGAAGGGTCGCAGTGGGGTCGGTTTTTGAGGTGGTTAGGTTGTTTTTGGTATATGATCCACTAATTTGAATTGAATACTGTTGATATTTATTTTAGCTGATTTTCGATATAACTTCCTCATTCAAGATTTAAACCATGACTTCGCTCATGAATCGAGTGTCTCGTCCGTGGAATCTTATCAATATCGAGTGTCTGTTGCCACTTGGCAATCGTTTATGGGGAGAATATATAGTGTAAGGTGTCCTGCTTTGAACACCATTTGTTCAAGTCTTTCCAAGTGATTTTGATCTTCTCGTCAGCTGCAGGAGAAGAAAGTTGATTTTTATATATTCGACTCTTCGATTTTCTTGAAATATCCGTATCCGACGTATATTTAGACATACGTGTGAGATGTGGAAGCACAAGCTCAGGTTTGATATAATTGTGTGATATTTTGTAGTATGTCCTCCACTGACTTCAGTATTAAGGTGAATTTATCGAGTGCCATGCGGTTTACATTAACGCACGAAGCGACTTCTAGGTGTCGTGATACACTGTTTTCAAGTATATTGAACTATAGCCTGATAGTTTTCATGAATGTCCCCGGATGATCATTGTTGTCTCGCTGGATTTGAGCCGCGCGGTGAACTTTTGATACATTCTGCTCTCATTGGAATTTACGGATGAGTAGCTCGTTATCGTTTCTCGGAAATTTCATATACATTCTGCAATTCTGTGTGGTAAGTTCTCTAGCAATCCAGTTGCTGATTTTTTTTTTTAACTTTTTTCATTGTAGGTGAATGGGTTGCATGCTCTGTTGGGGCTAATTTTACGCCGCATATCATCACTGTTAATGCTGGTGAGGTATGTTGTAAAAGATAGCATCGAGTTTTCATGATGTTAATACGTTATGCATGAAAAGCTCCATATTTTCTTGCTGGAAAATATGGTTTGGGAATATTGCTGGTTCCATTCTGATGTCTGTTTGGTATTTTAGGACGTCACGATGAAGATTATGTCATTCTCCCAACAAGGGCCTCGAGCTATATGTATTCTCTCTGCAAATGGGGTCATCTCGAGCGTCACTCTTCGGCAACCCGATTCTTCTGGGGGTACATTGACATATGAGGTAATGCGCTCTTTCCCTTTACAGCTGTTCATTCGTTTTGGAAGCTCAAGTCTCTCCTGATGTCAATTTTGTTTATGTTTTTAGCTTGACACCTCAAAAAAAAAAAACGAACGACAAACTTCCTGTGTTATTGAATTTCACTCAACAGTTTTTATCTTATTCTTCACTGGTAAACATCCGATCTCTTCTCAAATTTCTTGCAGGGTCGTTTTGAGATATTGTCCTTGTCTGGTTCATTCATGCCCAATGAAAGTGGGGCAACAAGAAGCAGGTCCGGTGGGATGAGTGTTTCATTAGCAAGTCCGGATGGACGTGTAGTAGGTGGTGGAGTCGCTGGTCTCCTAGTAGCTGCTGGCCCTGTGCAGGTTCGGCTTCGGTTTTGCCAGTTCCGCTCTTTTCTATCTCTTCCAGATTTTCATAGCTTTGTTTTAACCAAACAATTGCCACAACCCTGGTGAAGACATCTTCTAAACTTATTACTTTCTGTTGCTCCGAACCAGGTTGTAGTGGGCAGTTTTCTGGCCGGGAACCAGCACAAACAGAATCTGAAGAAACAGAAGCCACAGTCGATGACCATATCAGCTGCAACACCAATGTCTATTATTCCCATTTCCAGTGCCGATCCCAAATTAAACATCTCCTCATCCTTCCGCACTGATACTTGGTCACCGACTGATTCAAGGAATAAGCCCACCGACATAAATGCATCTGTGCATGGAGCCTGATCTAAACATTACAAGGTTTGATATCCACAGCACAGTTGAATCTCGTTCTCACCGTAATTGTTGCCGTTGTTGTTTATGTGTAAGCTTATCGACTTCTCACAAGTAACCGGCATGTTCATGTCCGGCTCGGGTTTTTACCCTGTTTACTTTCACCATTAGTTAGCCTTTTGAGTGTAGAATATGTTGAGTGTAATGTTTAGTGAGAGAATTGGCCTTTCTTACCAAGTTATGGATTGTGATTTAGAAAAACCAGTGTATTATGAACACCTCAAATTCATCTATTTAACGTAGCTTGAGCTTATTAATTCAGATAAATGATTAAAGGTCCGCACCGAATCGGCTTATTTATCCGACCGCCGGCCCTACGTGATCAAAACGGGGATGAAGACACCAACAACAACGGATCTAGATCTGGAAAATACATTGAAGACGGCAGCATTCTCGACCCGCGCAGGGACATTCGATTTTGGCAAGGAAGCTACAACGGGGAACTTATTTTATTCGTATTAATGTCTATATTTCACATTTTTTCAACTTGGTCCCTAGACATGAATTTCGTTAAGGACTAAAATATGTGGTTAAATCTAAACTCGGGGATCAATTGGGGAAAGTTTTCTACATTAATATGGTCCAAAGGGACCAATTTGAGAAAATTTATCGAATTTGGAGATAATATGAATAAAAAAATAGGGATTAAATTAAAAAATTTCTGAGTTCAAGAGTTAAATGTTACTTTATCGAAAATAAATGTAAAACTTAAGCTTTACACGTGCGAATATAGGATTTAAATTCCCCGGAGTACTCCCATACGTAGCAGAATCCCTATCTCACAAATTAGGCGGTGTAATCATCCTATAAAATAGATACCTGAAAATACTCCCAAACTTACATTTCATCAAAATCCAAGGTAATCTCATTCTTTCTCCACTTTCAGGCTTCAATTTTGATTGAAATTTAGTGGACGTGTTTCGATGACCACGTTCTATCCGTTCACTGATTAATTCTTATTTTTTGCGATTGTTTGTTACAGAATTATTCCTTTTTTAAATCATTTATTATATTTGATTTTTGTTTTTCTGAAATGTTCCTCCAATATTTAGGTTTATGAGTATAGATTGATTTTCGCTTCTAAAATATGATACAGTCGCGGTGGGCTTTTTGGGGTAGTTTCTTTGAAAATATGTGAAGTTCAATAAATTGGAGTGAATTGCTTGTGTTTTTCTATTTGGTAATCGTTTGAATGATTTATGTTATTTTATCTACGTAATTTGAAAGCTTGTGTTCTTTCTTTGAAATTCATATTTATCTTTCCCTTTTCAGAGTTTAGAGGGTTCCAGAAAATGCAAGGAGGCAGAGGTGGAAGATATCCTTTCTGTAATTTTGGTGGTGACCCCTTTGGTGGCTTTGGTGGTCCTAGAAGTTTATTATCCAACTTCTTTGGTGGAAGGGACCCTTTTTTCACTCGCCCTTTCGGAGGCCTGTTTGAGTCAAGCTTGTTTGGACCCAGCCGGAGTCCTTTTATGGGTATGCATCCGACTGGGTTTATTGAGCATCGGGCTCCAGAGCCGAAGAGACCAAGGGGTCCAATTATTGATGAACTAAACTCTGATGATGAAAAGGAAGAAGCAGATAGCGGAATGAAAGGAAATCCAAGGAAGCATGTTCAGTCGGAAGCCGAACCTTATGTTGAGGTTCCAGATGATGAAGCCGAACAATCTGTGGGAAGGAACCGACATTTGCAGTCTATGAATGCTTACAATAGTTCATATCAAAGACAACAGCAACAGCCTCAAACTCATAGCTTCACATTTCAGAGCTCTACTGTCACTTATGGTGGTGCTAATGGAGCTTACCATACTTGATCCAAAACAAGGAGGAATGGAAGTGGAAGTGATGGAGTAAGTTCTTCTGAAGTTTAAAGAATGTTCATTAGTAAACCCTTTTCTCATATGTCTTACATTTTTATGTTCTGGAATAGATTACCTTTGAAGAAAGCAAAGAAGCTGACACAGCCTCAGGTCAAGCAAGCCACCTGGTTTCTAGGGGACTTCACGACAAGGTATCTTGCACATCTTTTTGTTTCTCTGAACAATCTAAATTTCGTCTTTTTACCTTTGATTATGATGAGAACTTTTTTGTAGGGTGGATACAATGCAAACCTTGCATAACTTGAATGAAGGCAAGCTTGTGGTATATTTGTTGATAGAAGTAGATTAACTGGTGCAGTGGCAGTTTAAAGGGTAAATGTTCTGAATTGGTTAATTTTCCAGATGAGCTTACTGGTTTTGAAGAATCTTGGAATGGAAAAGCCCAAAAGCATTTGCCTGGTTGGTCTGGGAGTTTTATTGGCCAAGATACCATAGGAAATATATTTCTTACTATAGTGCTTTTCCCTTGTAATTTTGCTTCACTTAATAAGGAAAAAAGGAAAGACCGTGGTTCCCCGTTCCTTCGATTTTTTTATTATTTCAGTTGATCACTTTACAAATATATAGTTGGTGTGGAGGCCTGAATAAAGTCAAGGCAATGCTTTTTTTTTACATCCTATAACCTTGAATCATATATTTAGCTGCAACTTATGTCTCAGGGGCTAACAACAGTGGACAGAATAGGCAGGCAGGTCAGAGAGAGGATGGGCACTTCCCTCTACTGAGCATTCTCAGTCAAAAGGGAGGGTGATGCCTGAAGCAAGAGATGGGGGAAGGCCCTCACGCGGCCAGCACTCTGCAAGGATGAAAGGATCAACAGATTTTAAAGATGAGAGTTCCCGCACTCAAGGGAAGCGAAGGGCCTAAGTCGGAACACATTGAGTAGATCCTGTGGTAGAGGGCATTGCCTCTTCTCATATATCTAGTTTTGTATGCTTGGCCGTTTCCATCTTTTAGAGCTTATTTTAATCCTTAATTTTAAACTCTTCGGTCACGTATTATATGATGCGTCTGTGGCAGTCCTTCAGCTTAAGGGTAGGTAATGCAGAGAGCTTTAGACAATTACTACAAATACATGTTACGGTATAATCTCGATTCTCCGGATTAAACATTGCAATTTGACATGAGCAAATGCTTTGCTTCACTTCCTACTGAATTTTATTGTTGTGATCGGTTTCTTGTTTTGTGGGTGGTCTGACCGAGTGTATCCGTGTAATACGAATATATGAAGTTGATGCTCACATTGAAGGCCAAATAATATGTGACCTTACATCGTTCTTATCTGTATATATTTTTTTGTCAAATCAAACTAGTTCATCGAATTAAAATAATATTTTTAAAAAATAAATAATTTAAGAGAATAATGAAAATTAAATTCGTATAATTTTTAGATATGAAAAGTTACAGTTATTCACTTGTTTCAGAATAAGATCAAATTAATGAAATTTATAAATTTTAGATATTATTATTATTATATTATTATTATTATTTTATTTAATATTTTAGTAAAATGATTAAATTACAATTTTTATAGAAATAAAATAATAGTTTGTAATCGAATTAATACTTATGACCTCAATTGTGTGTTATCCAAATTCTCAACTTGCATGCTTCTTTGTTCTTTAGATGCTGCACTAGTTACAAAGTGAGAGTTGAACAAGATTTGATACCTGAGATTCAATAATAAAGGAACTTTTAAGTAATGAAACTGGTACATCATTGTCAAAGGAAAACTAGGGTTGTTTGCAACAATGTTTGTATATGAATAAACAACGAAAAGGAACTGCTAATGTATGCTCTATTTACATCAGTTGTCTGAATTTCCAAGCATTATTAGAAGAAATGTACAATGAACCCACACAAAGGGGAAGCAAAGAGACGATAAATAACTCCTGTTGACGAAAACGGGTAAAGAAAACGAAAGAACACGAGAATTTTACGAGGTTCGGCAATGTGCTTACGTCCTCGGTGCCTAGGCGGCGCTAGAAGTTTTATTCAATGATATTTTAGGTCTAGGTTACATCTCTATTTATAATAGAAAACCCTGGTACATAATTACAAAATCAACCCTGTACCGTACCACGGGGGCTGCGCCCCCACACCCCCAACCCACATAATTCGTAACCCCACAACGAGACTTTTTATGAGCCATACATAACAAATCTCCACCTTGGCGAATATCCTGCCCCTTGGAAACTTCAATGTGGGTTGGGTTACCTTGCTTCTTTAACAACTCGAAACATTCAACAAGTCCAAGCAATGCTTGAACTTGTCTGTCGTAACTGGCTTGGTGAACATATCAGCGGCATTCTCATCAGTATGTACCTTCTGAAACAAAACCTCTCCAGATGCAACCAACTCTCTGATCTTGTGGAACCTTACATCAATATGTTTAGTTCTAGCACGATACACCTGATTCTTAGCCAAGTGAATAGCACTTTGATTATCACAAAGCAATTGAACTCCACCTTGTTGAACACCCAACTCCTTCACTAAACCAGTAAGCCATAAAGCTTCTTTTGCAGCTTCAGCCGCTGCCATGTATTCAGCTTCAGTTGTAGATAGTGCCACGACAGATTGAACAGTAGACTTCCAACAAATAGGCCCTCCACCAAGAGTAAACACATACCCTGTCGTAGATCTTCTATTATCCAAGTCACCTGCATAATCTGAATCCACATATCCTACAACCAAAGGATTATCCCGCTGACTCCCAAAAACAATTCCATGTCCCACAGTACCCTTTAAGTACCGAAAGATCCACTTGACTGCATCCCAATGTTGCTTACCAGGTTTAGATATGTACTTACAAACTTGACTAACAGCATGAGCTAAATCAGGACGAGTACATACCATCGCATACATCAAGCAGCCAACAACATTAGAATACAGAACCTTTGCCATATTTTCAGCTTCCTTATCTGTCTTAGGACACTGTTCTGATGAGAGCTTAAAGTGATTCGCCAATGGAGTGCTAACTGGTTTCGCGCTGCTCATCGCAAACCTTTCTAGCATTTTCTCAACATAACCCCGTTGAGATAGCTGCAGTTTCCTTGAGTCTGTCCCTGCAAATTTCCATTCCAAGAATTTTCTTTGCAGCACCTAAATCTTTCATATCAAATTCCTGACTCAATAAAGTTTTCAAACCGATAACATCATCCATGTTCTTCGCAGCAATCAACATATCATCAACATACAGTAATAGAAAAATAAAAGAACCATCATCAAGGCTCTTAACATAGACACAACAATCATACTCACATCGGTTGTAGCCAATCTTGATCATATAGGAGTCAAACCGTTTATACCACTGTCTCGGAGACTGTTTCAACCCGTACAAAGATTTCTTCAATCTGCAAACTAAATGCTCGTTTCCAGGTTGAGTGAAACCTTCAGGTTGCCGCATGTAGATCTGCTCCTCTAAATCACCATGCAAAAAAGCAGTTTTAACATCCATCTGCTCTAAATGCAAATCCCAACTAGCCACCAATGCAAGTACTGCTCGGATTGAAGTGTGCCTGACCACAGGAGAAAAGATTTCATCATAATCAACTCCTTTCTGCTGTGAAAAACCCTTCGCTACCAAACGAGCCTTGAACTTCTCCCCCTCTTTTTCTGTTACTACTGGTTTCTTCTTATACACCCATTTGCAACCAATCGGCTTCTTACCCTCAGGAAGGGGAACTAACTCCCATGTGCGATTGTGATTCAAAGACTCCATCTCCTCAACCATGGCTGCCATCCACTTGTCGTTTTCCTGACTAGTAACGGCATCATGAAAAGTAACTGGATCATCACTGCTAACAGTAAGTGCAAAAGATACCAAGTCTTCAAAACCCAATCTGTTCGGAGGCTTTATATTCGTCCGTCTCACCCTGTCTCTGGCGAGACTATAATCCTGCAAATCATCCGTAGTGGAACCACCAGAAGTCGGTTGAGAAGTTTCTGGTTTCTCAACTGGAAACTGCTCGAAATCTACCACTGTCGTGTCTTGCTTCTGCTGCAACATAGACTGTTCATCAAAAACGACATCTCTACTAATCACAACTTTCTTCGCAACTGGATCCCAGAACTTGAATCCTTTGACACCTTTCTTGTAACCCAGAAAAATGCACTCCTTCGATTTTGCATCAAGTTTGGATCTCTCATCAGCAGGTACATGCACATAAGCAGGACAACCAAAAATCCGTAAGTTATCAAAACTAACATCATAACCAGTCCATACCTCTTTTGCAACTTTCCCAGCCAGCGATGCCCTTGGCGATCTGTTGATAAGGTAACACGCCATGTTAACAGCCTCAACCCAGAAGTGTTTGGGAAGCCCCGCATTCAACCGCAAACATCTGGCTCTTTCATTCAATGACCTGTTCATTCGTTCCGCAACACCATTCTGTTGTGGTGTCTTGCGCACTGTAAAATGCCTCTGAATCCCATGCTCCTTACAGAATTGTAGGAACTGTGAATCTGTGTACTCCGTACCATTGTCAGACCGCAAACACTTGATTTTTCGTCCTGTTTGGTTTTCTACCTCAGCTTTCCACAGCTTGAACTTCTCAAAAACTTCAGATTTCTGTTTCAAAAATACACCCAAACTTTCCGTGAAAAATCATCAATAAAAGTAACATAGTACCTAGATCCACCCAAAGACGATGTCGTGGAAGGCCCCCATACATCAGAATGCACATAATCAAGAATCCCTTGAGTTGTGTGCTTCGCAGTCTTGAAACGGACTTTAGTCTGTTTACCAAGAACACAATACTTGCAAAAGTCGAGCTTACAGCTTTTGACACCATGCAACAAGTTTCTCTTGTGTAATTCTGCCATACCACGTTCACTAAGATGAGCAAGGCGCATATGCCACAATTTTGTCGTATCATCACAGGACTCAACAGAGTGAACTCCACCTGCAACGGTACTCCCTAACAATATGTAGATATTCCCTGCAGTCATCTTGCCTTTCATCACAGTCAATGCTCCTTTAACAATCCGAATGGTTTCCCTATCCTCGTCAGCCTTAGGGATAAAACCATTCTTGTGCAAAGTGCCCAAGGAAATCAAATTCTTCTTCAAGTCTGGGATATGTCGAACACCACTCAACATCCGAACGGAGCCATCGTGCATCTTAATTCTGACATCACCAATACCAACAATATTGCAACATCGATCATCACCCAAATAAACCGAACCAGAATTAACCGGCCTGTATGTCGAAAACCATTCCCTATTTGGCGTGATGTGATAAGAACATCCAGAATCAAGAATCCAAGCATCCGTCAATTGTGTCGTTGAAATAGAAAGCATATCACCCTCACTGCAATCAGAATTATCATCCTCGACCACGTTCACAGACTTGGATGAGCCATCACGCTTCTCATCAGTCTTCTTTTTCAACTTCGGACAGTCTCGCTTCATATGTCCCGCCTCCTTGCACTTGTAACAGTGAATCGTCTTCTTATCCCTGGATTTAGATCTGGAATTCCGCTTCCCGGACCCTGCCTTCTCTGGCTTCCGTCCACGATCTCGATTACCCTTGACATATAAGCTATCGGCTTGAGAGCTTTCCCCTGCATTCTGCTTCCGCTGGTTGTGAGCCAACAAGGCTGCAGTAATCTCCTCAACGTTGATAGTCTCTTTCCCATATGTAAGAGTAGTCACCATGTGTTCGTAAGAGGAAGGCAACGAACACAACAGAATCATCGCTCTGTCTTCATCCTCAATTTTCACATCAAGCCGAGCCAGATCAGAAACGATTTGATTGAAGACATTCACGTGTTGCGCCAAATCGTGATCGTCCTGCATCTTCAGCCCATACAGCCGCTGCTTCAGATACAGTTTTGTCGTTAAGGATTTGGACATAAACTGACTTTCCAACTTCCTCCAAATTTCGTCTGGAGACGATAGATGCATGACGTGATACATGACCTCGTCCGCCAAGCATAATCGTATGGTTCCTGCCGCTCGCTGCTGCAATTCTTCCCAATCTTCCTCATCCATCGACGCCGGCTTTGTAGGTCGCAAAGCCTTCAAGATCCCTTGCT